CGACGCGATCTCAGAGTCCCCTGCCCCTCCTTTTGAGGACAGGACTATGGCTTCGGCTCTATTCGGTCATGACTCACGATCCTGAACCGGCGACTTATACGAAACTCGACATTACTGCACATGCAACGGAAACTAAATTCGAAGGTCTCGTTTCCGAATCGAGGACGCGGAGGCAAGGCCAAGCGCAGTAATTCCTGGGCCGCACGGGCTAGACCCCAGATTTGAGCCCAAAACCCTGACCCGATGCATACCACAACCTCATCAGCTTAAAACAGCGCTCCCATATTTCTTCAATACTCTTTCAGCTTGGTTAGATGCTTACTAGAGCTCTTCATGGCGTAGCAATTCTTTACTTAGTTCATCCATATTTAGTTTCTGAATCTTACCGAGATCACCACCACGATTATTCCTAGAGGAGAAACTCAGGGACGACGACGTGATCTCTGAATCACATGCAGAAAACATAGTATAGTAGAGCTATATTAGGGAGATACGAAGCAATATAAGTTAGACGTAGTTTGAGGACGCTATCAATAGCTACGATCAATGCGGTATAAGCCACTATGACCATTACCCCTGATTGGCATCTACGGGATGCCGGCTCTCATATTACATGTACTAGGGGAAAGTCGGTTGACGAGTCGGAATAGCTGTCCAGATCTCGTGACAAATGACCTGACTCGATGTAAATAGCACATGCAGGCAGAAGCCGTACCCGGGACGGACTATATCAGACCACGGATAGATATCATAAGTGGACTCCAGCTCATCCGTGCATGAGGTCAATATTAGCTACATGATTCTTTAGAGTCATATTGCTCTACAGGACTATCTCTCGCGGCTTACATTTCCGAATTCAATAGCACCCTTGCATGCTTTTTCATTTATTTCTTGCCGTACGACTGTAAGAACCATCCCCGTGGGGAAGAGCCTAAAGTCGAAATAAGCTCATCTCGAAGCTGCCCGTGGTACGACTCTGCTTCTATAAATACGCGTTCCCGAACCCGTTCTGAGAAAACAGCATATGTATGCAGGGTCTAGACGCTCTATTTATAGACACATTTATTTCAGGGTCGTATACTCTCCGGCACTCTTTCTCCCCCAACCCTCGCTGGGAGCTCAAGGTCAAGGAAAGGAGCTCCTCGCTCACCGATGAGGAAGTCCCGAAATGCCTTATGAGCTCCAGCTGCATGCAGCTTAAGGTAGCTACTCCTCCAATCGTAGGACTATGTCATGCTCTATATGTACCCGACTGCAGCACACCGGACCTAGACAATTCTATATACTACTCTGCCGCAGAAACTGATTAATTCATCGGGGACACGAGCTTCGTCCGGGCTATTGCTGACCCGAAGTGTTAATGTTAATGCAGATTATCAATGGACTGGAATGACGCTACGGTTGGTACCAAACTTGGTTGATAATTGGGTTGAGCTGCTAAATTGGAAGGAGTGGGAAGGAAGCTCGGGGTGAGGTTGGGACTGTCATGTTGTCACGGTATTATTACGATAGCGTCAATCGTAAGACACGAGCAGAGCTTTACTAAGAATCAATAATGACAATGAGGTCACAGAAGCTCAGAGGTAGAAGACACAGTTAAGTTAATATGTAATATTTTGATTCATGCGCCTGTCATTCTTGATAGTCGTTAAAGGTATCGCATGCTAGGCCAGGGGGTCTAAAAATTATAATAATGCTTTCCGTATGGACAATCGTAAGTATTTTTTCCTCCAATTATGCCCGTCCCATAGTGATATCATTGAACGCCTTGTAAATGCCAACTGTCTTCGAGGGTTTTGATAATGTCCTCAATAACCCCTCGATCATATCTTCGTAAAAAGGTTTAGCCAACAAGGCTACTAATGCATCAAAGACCCCGAAGCAGAGGCCGAGGAAAGGCCTTTGTAGCCTCCCCGTTTCGTGAAAAGGAACAATGGCGTCCATTAGAGAATCCGGAGTTGCAAGATCGATACGCCATGCTCGAATCGATACGGAAGTATGTATGTGATGTGTATGTGTATGTGTCGCCGCTAAGTGCTGCTTGTTGAAGATTAAAGCAGCAGGCGAGCAAGTCGTATAGTGCAACGGTGAGAGCGAGTGAGTTGCTCATAAAGCAGTCTCGGTGAGACTAAGTGAACGGTGTGGTTCCCATCCCCAAATGAAGTCTTTTTCCCCCTCCGCCCAGAACTCCCCCTTTCCATGCAAAAACCGTTCCATTGCTTAGTGGGCATGAACCGTTTGCGCCTCCGGCAGTTGAGGTTTATTCTGCGGATGGCAGTACCAACAGCTGCCTGTTGTGTACTCAGTTCCGCAGTTGCCACACGTGTGCATATGCATGTTGTCGATTTGTAGATTGAACGTCTTGATATTGGTAGCTGTAGAAGCAATAGTACACCTGTTGTTGGCAAGTCAGAGAGACTTTCTCCTTGAGCGGCAGGAAGCCATGGACCGGGCACTTACAAGTGCTATGAGGTTCGGTTGCGCCTGGGTCTATCTTTCTCGTGAGAAGACGACACCACGTGAAGAAGTTGTTGGATCAAGGTTGAAGCTATGGCTAAAGCTTAGAGCCAAGGTCAAAGGTGACGAAGAAGGTTGCGCGTGGTGAAAGAACAGAATAATAAATTCAAAAGTTGTGATGTGATGGAATGATAGTCCCCTCCTTGTACCGGGGAAGCTAGACTAGAAATTATTATGCTGGGGGGAGCTCGACGGGGACCCTTGAGGATCGTCTCTGTGGATTAATAACTTAATATCCATCCCAATTTGGCTCTAATGCACGATCCATCAATAACTTCACGATGGCTGGCTGACGAGACCCACCAACACCACCTGCCTACTACAGTACTATGTAAGGGTCTTTGCCAATAGTGCGCCAGGTAAGCAGGAGTGTGTTGCCGTATAAGCGAATGGGCGAGAAGGCCTATAAAGTCTAGCTAGAATTTATTTAGGAAGCGTAATCCGTCCAATGTGCCAAAGACAGAAGCTGACCACGTTTACCACGTGGTGGTCGCCTAGAATGCCGTCGCTTTCGGCACCGTCGGGTCCTACCGAGTCTGACCACATTTTAGAGAATGCGATGTTAAAGACGCAGCCAAGACAACGGGATTCCTTTTCGGCCGATATCGTATCAGAACTCCCATGGTGGCAGAGTAGGAATAGAAATCGATGGAAAATCAGAGAACCGTGGTAGCGAAAGACACATAAAAAGGTCGATCACCCGTTGCTGGCAGAGTGAGGGAATATTTTGACAAATCGCGGGCTCTCTCGCTTGCAATAGGCTCGTAATAAGCTTGCAATAAAAAGCTTTTCTGGGGATAAACGGACCGGATGCGATAGTCGCGTCTCCTGATTGTGTGGACTGCCACTGGGACTGCCATTGATTCCCGTCCACCTCGCCCGTGAGAGAAACCCCATTAGACGATCTCTCGGAGAGGAGAAAGTGATGGGCAATGGAAAATGCACCCAAGACCACCCATTAATCAAACAACTATGGCATACTTGCCCAATCCAGTCACGGCTCCATTTATAGTCATAGTCTTGGCGTACAGATGTCCCTCTCTGCTCCGATTTTTTACTTCTGTCGGTGTACTGCAAATATCTGCCAGCTTGCCAGCGTGCATCTTCTTGCATAGTGAGGCTCCTCGTATTTGAACGACAATCCCGTCAATCTCGACAATCTTTTTAGAAGCGCAATTTGTCTCTACGAAAGCCTCATCGACACGCTCTTAAACCTACATATGTACCTTGATGTCCCGGACAATCCCCCTTGCTGATCTTACTCTATCAGCCGCGACAGCGTGTTTCCCCCTCGCAATTCACGAAAACGTGTGTGCTGCGTGTCTCGGCGTCTATCCCGCCCAATAATAGCGCTGCCGCCACCGCCATGCATTCCATTCATATCCGTCCCAAATCCGCGTACTTTATCTACGTACATCACTTTGTGGTTGCATGCTCTAGAGCTGATGCTGAACGCGTACAGCAGTGCATCTAGAGAGGACACCTCTTTCTGACCGGTCTGATTCCGCTTCAGAGAGGAGGAGCAACCCAGCTGCCTCGTGGCATAATATAACTTCACCGGCCTGAAAAGCCGTATTGGGAGAATAAAGCCGCTGTGGGCCGCTCACCTCCCGACTGAATGGCGCCAAATCAATTCCTCTGGCTTCTCTAGTGTAGCTACGGGTATGAGATCCGCGGCGCGGGCTAGGCTGGATTAGACGGGACCACTAAGCGAACTTCTCAGTCCGGGTTAAGTCGAGGACCCTAATGAAGCGTACAGAAAGCCGCCAAGATGGCCAAGCTGCTCTTCAACGACCCTGACCCGGCAGTTTGGTTAAGGTCGAGTGCCGTCTTTTTGAAGCCTCTATGCTCAGCCAGGTGCGCCCAAGTCGTAGGAATGCGCTGATATCGCTTACGGTGAGAAGGAAATAGCGCCTTCTAGCCGCTCACTATGCGCGGATGGGTTACACTGCGGTATTATGCAGGTCTTTTTCACTGAAGTCCGAAATCTGACGGTCCTCCCTGGAAATAATAGTACGGTAAGCACATGCGACAAGAATGCGCTGGTGAGCGGATAGCATCTAGATACCCAGTATCCTCTGCCGACATCCGATGAGGTGTATTCCGAGAAGCAATAGTCGAAATAATCCAATATATTAAGTCCCAGCACGCCCTATGAAATACATGCATATATCCAAATAAATGAAAATCCTGGCAAGCTGCGAGTTTGCCGCCTGACTGCAACCGTAGCACAATCGCCGAATGCACTTTATCCAGATTTGGAACTCCCAATCAATTCAGCACAAGCATCAGCTAAACACCAATCGAAAAGGGAAGTACCTTAAAGTTCTAAAATTGTGAGTGCGTGCGATAGTCGTCTATGAAGATCGCCAAGCTTGGTGTAAAAAGTGTTGGCAATAAATCCTGTTATAAAAACGTAGCTTACTACAATTCGACGACAGTAAGGAGCCAATAAAAGATAGAGGGAAAGTTGGGAAAAAGAATGCATGAACGGGGAGTCGAACCCCGAGCTCAACCTCGCATTCGCTAATGGAAGGGTTGAATGTTACCGCTACACCATTCATGCTATGGAAATATGCTAGATTCGGAGATATCCGATATCTGAATGTTTGACGAATTCATAGCTAAGTATATATCTCATACATCTTAATCATATCAAGCTACGAGCTAACCCTTTTCAGTTCAACTCCTTGTACGGAATCTTACACGAAGTCACTTTAAAGGTTATCAGAGATCGGTTTACTTAGTTTAGACGCTATGTATGCAGTTATATCGTCTTAATGTACCAAATCGTTAGGCTTAATCGACCTCTTCCTTGCTCCATGGTGCTTAATCATCTCCCCTCGATCCACCCCTTAAGCGGGAGGGCAACGCTAGAGCCTCATCAAACTACGTAACTCATCATCCGAGTCGCGGGTGTCCAACTGGCTACGATTATTTTCGCCTTAATGACTCGTTTCTCTAGGAGCTTGGACCCATCTATCGTAATCCCCGATCAACCGGTTACAGCATTGGCAGAGAATAATAAGGTGTGGGGTCAAGCCCACGGTAACCACATTATTAATGTAGGTGATTGTCGAATCCGATCCATCCACAGATTCCCAAACAGATACGAACTTCTCCGGCCATCTCTGTGTGCAGTTTGATCGCAATCTCGTGAGTCTAGTAATGACCTCTTCGAATTCCCGGAGCCATAGTTCAGGTCCATTTGCAGGCCACTCCACGTAAGGTGAATCTGTCATACAGTCGAATTTCTTTTCCCATCTGGCGAGCTCTTGTTCTATAGTAGGTGCCAAACTTGTTTCCAGACTGAGCAACCAGGCCCTTATAGGTTGCTTCACATCAAGGTGGTGATATAGCGTTGGATGGACTGTCGCTTGGATGAGCGCCCCGGCCTTGGCTAGTCCCCCCTCTTGATGTTGCCATTGCGATGTCTCCGTCCCAGCAAGAAGTAGCCGCAGATGAAGGAATACCTGCTCCTTGATTGTGACATCCACGTGGTTTTGGGGGATATTCGGTATTTGAATGGTTGGTCTGGGCTTCGGCTCGTCCCGTCCGTTGGGATCGATCAGCATCCATATATCCAATGGGGTCGCTCTCTGGATACTCTCTATCCAGTCTGTCCAGTGTTCTTGGTATCTCAAGCAGATTTCCGACGGCATACTGAAATGATTAATCAATTGTCTCTCGTTGACTGTTCTGTATTATGGTTGACAAGTGAAAGGTACAGACTTGGTAGACTAACCAGATACGGGCAGGAATATCTATGCATCTAAATACTCTGGCGGTCTTTATCCTTCGCTGCCTAAGTCTATACCCGTCTTTCACGTATAAGGCATGGCGAAAGCCTAGAATCTTCATGATAGAGTATCAGGTAGACTCTAGAGATAGCTGTCACTGTACTTCCGGCGGTGCTTTATCCATAATGGATATCAGAGCTATACGTGCTCTATCTGAATCCGGTCCACGATTACGGCATAATTAAATGAGGTTAACCCTCGAGTCTTGTAGGGCCTAGTAAACTAAACCTATTAGTTATTTTTATTTCAGGTAGTTAGATAAATGTGCCACAATAGTTAGGTGAGATTACATCAAAACATAACATATATCGTGAAGGCACTCTCTGACTACACCCAGACCACTTGCCGGTGTGAGACTCCGACTGCTATTATGTCCAACAATCATCTCAAATAAATACATACATGTAGGCTATCCGAGTAAATGCAACACATTACATCAACGGTTGCCCTCAGCTAGTCAGGTTAAGCTATAAGTGTAAGGGTAGGAATAGCTTTGCTCTTAACCGAACAGGTTCTAGTTAGCTTATAGAAAATTAGGCCAGTATAGTACTGATACATGGTAACTGAGATACCATACTAGACGCTCTAAGTGATAGGAATGAGGCAACTAAATCATAGTAAGAGTACTTAATACTTGAAACTACGTTGATCTAGACACGAGGGACATAAGAAGTATGAACAAAGAGAGCTACAGGTTCCAGAAAGCATACGATTTCCCAGTACCAACGAAGGAAGGATTCCTCAGACATTTATCTCTTTAAACTGACTAAACTCACGCTGTCAACGAAGCCGTCTACATGGCTTCGAAGGCTGGGCTTATAGACAGTCCCCCAACGTAGAAATGCTCAATTTCAAGTCCTGTAAAAATCTCCTTCCTTATGTTGTCTTAGGACGCCTTCCACAACCCAATAATTGAACTAAAGGTCATTGTGAACACCAAAATGTCTCCTGGTAGCTTTGCCAACAATTAGCTCTAGCACTATTACTAAGCCGCAGCAATTCGATTCAACTAGCAATCTTTTAATAAAGCTCAAAATAGTTACATATATGTAGATAATACTACACTGGACCTAGTTGGCTGGGAGCCCATGCAACAGGGCACCTTAAGAGGAAACCCGCAAGCAGACAAAATGGCTAAATGACAGATGAGTATTAGCAATATTAACGTAGTTGCCGTGAGAACTTATTTCTATATTGACAAACAACACAACGACCTCAGTAATATTAGCAACGGGCAGAAAGCGTCGCGTGTCAACAACTCCCTATCGTGCCAATTTCAATCCTATGGAAAAGCAGGGTCCTCATATCATTTCGAAGTCCTCGGAGGGCAACGTTGCTATCTCTTCGGGGGAACTTCCACGCATTATACAAATCCGGGAACTAGATCGTTGCGTTACGCGGGTCTTATTAGTCCGGCTGTTTGCCGTTTTGCGAAACGGGGAGCGATGATCAGCTTACTATATATATTATGAAGAGAGGGATTACGCTGATCTTGCTCAGCTTGACCAATGTCGGCATGTGATAAACCTGAACTCCTGGAGATCTACGTCCCTTGCTTTGCTTTCAGCCGGCTTGGCGCCTCAGGGACAGCTGAGGGAGAAGGCGACAGCATTGGAGAATTTGGGGAAGCGTTGGGGAATAGCAGGAGATAAGGCAACGACCTTTCCGTATGAAGGTGCCGATTGAGCCGTCCGGCAGAGGGCTATGGGCAATAGCCATGCGCATACCTGATTATGTAGTTTATGCAGTTTAGCCAGCAAGATCTTCCATGTAACCAAAGCAATATATTCGAGAACCACGCTTTCATGTAAAGGTTTCCCGGTCCTTGGCGCTCTGTAACCCTTCCTGCACTATGACGAGCCACGCTAGTACGCGAATCCGAAAAGTATAAAGAAGCGAGAGTCACCATTGATGACACCATCCCCGGGTTTTGGAACGCCATTGATACTTCGACGGTTTGAGCGTCTAGAGCGTAGTCGTCGATAAGTATACCACAGTCTTGTGGGGTTGAGCGAATCCCTCATTGGTGGTACCGAAGTCGTCATCATGGGTCAAGGTCCTTCGCTTCCAGGTCCGCCTGGGACGAAGTTTCGTGTCATTGGAGCTGGAATGTAAGTTGAAATGAGTTTCCTGGTTTGCTTCTTTCTACTCTAGAGCATGTAAGGCGGCACGTGGAGGTACGGGATAGTGTAACGAAGAGCCCTCGTATAAGCGCCCATCGTAGTTAATCGAGACGCGAAGTTGACTTCATATAGGTCACGTACTGGTACAAAGACCCTGAACGAAGCCCTCACCATCCTTCTCGATGGGCCCGTCCACGACTCCGGGATCCAGTCCCTCGGAGGCCCAGTTAATCAAATAAAAGCTTGGCTCGACATTATGGAGCTTGCACCGAAAGCGCAGACGTTTTCGGAGCAGAAGAAGCTTGATTGGCTCATCTCGGAGGTACTCGACGGCTACGTTGCAACCATGGACTGCCCCGCCGCGACTCTCACCCCGGAAATTATGCGCGTTTACCCTGACGCCGTCGTAATATGCACGACGAGAGACCAGGCGTCCTGGTGGAAAAGCATGAACTATTTGAACAGTCTAATGGGAACATGGTACCTCCCTTTGGTGGTTCTGTGGCTGCACAAGACACAGGTTTACGGAGTATGGCGCGAGCGATTCCACGGCATAATGATGTGGCGCTACCAACAAGAAAAGATCGAGGAGGATACGCTGCGCAAGCACGAAGAACACCTACGACAAGTTGTACCTCCCGAGAAGCTATTCTTCTACGAAGTCAGCCAGGGGTGGGAGCCTCTATGCAGGATTTTGAACGTTCCCATTCCCGACCGCCCGTTTCCTCACAATAATAGTAAGGGCGACGCAGCGCAAACATTCCGAGACCATATAATAGCAGGTGTGATCTCGTGGGCATTTATGCTTATGGCCATCAGCACGGTCATTTGGTTTGTGAGGGTTTGGATTCTCCAACGTCTATCCTCATGGACTTGAGCTGAGAGCCAACGTGGGGGGCCGCCTTTTATTTTAATTCCATATAATCTAATGTCGGCGCATTATCCTCGAACTGGTCAGTATAGAGTACTGAAACGTGGCCTTTTATTAAAGCCGATTTTTTGGGATCCCCTTAGAAGTAACGCATGTTATAGTCTAACAGCCGTTTCAAGCGGTCTTGAGGGTTGGCATCTTTACGAGATTCTGGCTCGACCGCTTATGGGTTACATAGATGAGATACTACCACAATCACATTTTCAAACCTAGTATACGCTGCCTTCAAAGGATTTCCCCTACGTATCTTAAGCTATCCCACCGGAAGGTAACAAATTCCTTTTCAATATGGTGTGATGTTGACGAACGGATAAAATCGACAATAGGGTTAATTTTCCGCCGTGACTGGAGCCACCCCCTTTCTCCAACAAGACGCAGGTCCCACTCTTTACCTCTATGAAATCGGCTCGCCCACGAGGTCTGCAATGCTAGTTACCAAATTCAACGAAAACGGAAACATAGATGTCTCTCGGCTGCCCCAGCTTGATATGTTAGTTGTGGTGGTCCCTTGCTAATACTGTACCACGGTTCGCCATCCTTATAATGGATTACATTCATGATTGGCTTCAGCACGTATAATCAGAGATCTGAGCAACCCATCAACTGTCGAGAGGCTATAACTGATACTGCTATTCTCCATATTTAGGTACTTCTTGTTGTGTACATACCTATATGTACATGTAGATATATAAAAGGGGACGAAGCCTCCCTA